AGAGAGAGAGAGAGAGAGAGAGAGAATAAAGACTGACAAAGAGAAAATTCTCTGAAGAATTGTATTTATTTTACGCACACATTCTTCTATAATTTGGTGGTTTACTGTTTTCTTCTCTGTAGAAGCCGTTGAATTTCTTAATCCGCTCGAAAGTTCTGACGTAAACAGAAACATTAATAAACGCAAACATTTGTTTGCAAGTTATCAACAAGAAATTCTCGAAGCTGTACCTGAAATAGAAGAGAAAAATGGTTGGAAGCAACGGGACTATGATCGCAATTCGCCTTGTCCGTAGTAAGCTGCGGAAACGAGAAGATCATACGAATACGGTACATCCAGATGCAGCCGTAGTGCAGACAGCAACGTCGCCGGTTTCGACGATTGTCGCACAGTCTTATCCTGTCGAAGGTTGTACACAGACGTCAATGACTACAGCTACAGATCTGGGAAATAGCACAGCTGTAGAACAGGATAACAATGTGTATACTATGGCCAATACGACAGATCAATTCGTCTGGCAGTTTCCGCCTCCTTATCCACCGCCGCACACACCGACACAGTATGCGTTGTACAACGACCAGGTTGGTAAACCGTTTTCTTACTTCCTTATTTTTTCTCCTTTATCTTATATTTTCTTTCCTTCGAGTTTGTAATCCTCAAAGAAATAAGAATTAGAGTTTCTCGCTTCTGGTTTCGCCCATATTCCTTTTTACCAGTAACCACTAACCAGTAGAGCCAGTATTACCAGATTTTACTGGTTTACTCTATACTTCCCAGGATTACTTGATCATTTTAGTGGCTGTTGATCGTACTTCACTTAATAAAATATTCATTTCTCTAGGGAATTACTTTTGTGCATGTAAAAAGTTGCTCAAATCAATAATTCTTCTTTTTGTAAAATGAAACGAGACGAATCTTCTGCAAGATAATATTTTATTAAGTGAAAAACAAGCCAATTTCATGATTAAAGTATTGGTAACCCTAATGCCAGTTTTGAAGAATAATGGAAAACAGTTTGAAAGATGAATACTTCAACCACACTGTTCTAACTATATCACACTTGCTCTCTATATTTTCTGTATTGTAGAACTGATCGATTTCATATATTATACTATGCGATAAATATACTATTTTTCGCTCACTTGTGTTGCGTAGACGTACATACATACATATATATTACTGGCGTCTCGATATACGAATCTTAACCGGTAGAAATCAATTTACATTACTAATTGAAGACTATAAATAGTACAAATTAAAGGAAAAAACTTAAAATAAATTAATGAAATATGATTACTCTTAAATGTTTGACGATTAGAGGTAGAACTGCAAACTATTAAATTTACTATTACACTGTTTTTATATAACTAATTAATGTTTAAGTTAACACAAATTAATATCCGTTTTGTACGAAACTTGTATGTTTGTCATGTTTATGGACATGGTTGAATATTATTTCAATTTTTCCAAAAGAAGAAATTACACAATATGTATCTAAGGGTATTGTTCTATAATTAGTTCTGCACTGTTTACATTTATATATCTATTAAAAGTTCATGATATTAATATTTCAATCCATTAAATGCGTAAAGATATGTTTAGGAATCTTTATTTCGTATAAATTAATATTTTTTCTGTTATAAAAGGTAACTATTTCTTTTAAATTGCACGAATCAATCTGTCATTCTTTTTTATGGTAGGATTCGTATAAAATTCTGTTCAATATGTAAGTTTAGTACATCCGTTTCGAGGAAACAATCAAAACCATGTGTTTCTTTATTACGAAAAGATCAATTAACCTTGAATTGCTTTATGATTTTACAAAATCATGATGTGTGCGTGCCTTATACGTATACGTATCGCTCTAATACCTAACGAGATTAAAGAAATCGGTGTTTAAAATTATATTTTTGTTCCATTCCATTACAAATTACAAATAATATAATTACAATGCAGTTTGCATATAATATTCCAGTATATTAATTTAAAAATAGTTTTACAATTGCCAAAGTTGCGATTCATAATATATCATGAAAGCCTACACAATTTATTATGTATAATAGTTAAAACACGTGGTGTATAATACTGCAATGCCGCAATTGAAAAAAATGTAGTTAATAAAATTCCAGGATATAGTTGGTGACAATAAGACTTTTGCAAATAGTAGTTATTAATAATAGTCGATGGTGCTATTGATTGCTCAAGGACGAGGCATATGAGTAGACGGCCTGGCAAACGAGTTGTAAGGTCGAGGCTCAGTCAGAGGCTCGTCGCCAGAAAAATCCCAAACAATCGGCAACGTTGCCGCATCTACGCTGCTTTGTTGCCGTTATAACACCGTATGTTTCAGTTTCATGCTCCACTTACCGGTAAATCTTTACTGCTTTCCCATGTACCTTAGCTAGTTTTTGAACTACTCTTATTATCGCTGTTCTGTTACGTGTCTCATTCAAGAACAGATATAGCATTTCTATATTTAGCTTCGAGTTACGAGTTTAAATTCTGTATTCAGCCTACGCACTTCATACAATATACATATACATGGGTTTGAAACTTCAAATTTTAATTACCCATCATGGGCAGACTAATCTGTTCATTGATTATCTAAATGATCAGCATGACATAAGCTTATATGATGTAATGTAAAATACGTATGACATAGGTCCTTATGTTCGATTTAAAACGAGTATGAAAAGTCTATCCTTTACGGAAGTGAGATAAGATAGGGTTTTTTAATACTTCATTCGATACCTGACCATGATTATAATTCTGCGAAACATGGTACAGACCGTCAATGAATCTTATAGGTTTCAATGCGAATCTTTATCATCTTTCAAAAAGTAATAGGTCGGTTCCTTAAGTTTACACAACAGCAATAATGTCAGGACTTTATCTTCATCATAACCACACTAGTATGCGGTTGATGAAAAATATACATTGTGGTTCGTATAATTCATGTACAGTTAACACAAAAAAACACCTCAATATTTAAACTCGTTGATTAATCTAATCACGAATGTCATTCTACGAACGTCTTTTTTTAATTCTAGATTGATAGTGAATCATTATGCACGCTTTTACATGCATACCTGCGGTACCATACGAATGTTACACAATACAATTGTTTCCTTGCACTTTTTATTCAAATCTCATTTAATCTTGTCTCGAACATTTTGAAAATTCTTCTGTTATATTAGGTATCTAATTTTTTTTTACTAAACATTACAATATTTCCAATTTGCATGCTTGAACAATAGTTTTATTTTCTTTGTTTTTCTTTTTTCTCCTGTTTTTTGTACTTCAACTCGTTTCTTTTTGTTTAAATTATTTTATCCGATTAGCAATCTTCTAGAAGGCAGTTCTATAGAAAACGACTGGCTTATGGTTCTATCGATTAACGCTACTGTGTTGGTAACTTTTGTTCGAAATTAGGTACATGCAGTGTTGCAACGTTGTATTTTCCATCTAGCAAACCGTGAAAGCTACTATATTTGGTGGTTTGAATGCATATAGGTGCACCTAAAAACCCGATTTTACCCCTCTGGCTAACTCTAAATTTAGTGTGGGTGGGCGGTCACGACCGTTTGCCAAGCAGCTGCCGGATTTCAGCACAGGGTGCAGCTGTCTCATAGTCGACAAAATAATGCGTCTCTCCTTGACGATATTGGCAATATTCCTGCAATTCAGACGCCATACTTCGTTGAAACGTTCAGCGATATTTTCATTCCTAACCTTTCTGTTTTTCACGATCCCTTTCTAAATGTCGATCGGCGAGGATCTAGTTTCTTCTGCCCACGTATCTGGTCATCTACCTCTGTTCAACGGTTTTCCTGTTTGCCTCTTCGTAATATATAGTTTCTCTTTCTAGCTCTACCAAAGCTCTGGGACCCTGTTGGTCGGTTTCGTAACGTCGCACCCGGATACACGACGTATCCTGCTTTTTCAGTCGAATCGACGCACTCTCAACTATTTCTATACTTTATGGATCGCTCTAGTTTAATCTATTGCCATGTATTATGTACATACATACATGCATTGAAAATCGTATTTCTCGAAATGACGCATGTTACCCATTGCATAATCTGGAATTTTTTCGATAGATGGAAAAATATTTCTATACTTTTTATACTCTAACTTAAGCAAATTTGCTTTTACGATTTATTTTTACCATATTCTAACAGACTTTATAACCTCCGTGTCATAAATTTTTGTTTTATTACAGGACCATTCATCTTTTTTTAAAGAGTTTCCAGTTGAACTACATCTATGTACATTAGTACATACTTTATAGTCTACGGTATCTTAAAATCAAGGAATAATCGATTATCACATTGTTATTGAAAGATTTGTTAAAAGATTAAAAAAGACTGCTATACGCAGTGCAAGAAAATGTAGAAAGACATGTATTACATGAAAAAACGTATCAAATTGCTGAAACTATTCTGTAAATTTATACAATTAATACTCGTGCATTTGAAATACATGTTAAAAGCTCGTTTTTTGTGTTTCGCATTAAACAATTTTAATAACTCATTTGACAAGATACGAATTTACCAAAGAATATGCTTTGTCATAATTTATTGGACTAAGTATTGAATATTTTTTCTTTTCTCTCTCAAAGAGATGATAAGATCTAAATGCATATTATGCTCTCTAAGTAATGATATTTTTGCACGGTTTCAGATTATAAATTACAGCTATATGATATTACTGAAGGAAAAGCGGTAAACATTTGAAATTCCTCCTTTCTTAATAATACATTGTTAATAAAATTGCAGCGTGTATATCATGGCTTCAGTTATATTAGTCACGTTAAATAAAAAGGATATTGACAAAAAGGAGCGTTATGTTGTATCGATTACATAACTTCGTGACAGAAAATATTTCTTAAATTGCTGAAAATAGTATCTCCTTATTTATGTTACGTAATTTTAAAAGAAACATGATACGCACAAAATTCGGTAATATCGTTCTACTATCTGTGTACAATAAAATTCTCTGTCATACCGCATATTTCACGGTTTTCAATGTATTAACGTAATTTCTGTAATTTGCACAATTATTAATATACTATGTTGATGAAGCACATCATAACCTTAAGATAAAAATACTTGGAGTTCAAGGTTGAAATTATCTCGATTTTATAGAAATAAAGATGAAGGAAAATTTTTTTTATGTTACTTCTGAATCAACTTGATTTTTTAGAGCTGAAGATTATATTCATGTTTATCTTTTCTTTTTCTTACAATTATTTTAGCTATTTTACAAGAAGTAACATTTAATTAAAAAAGAGTTAATATTCAGTTGTTAAATACATCGTGATAAAATAACTTTATTGAACATTGATCGCTTTTATTAAGGTTAGTTTGTGAAACTGCCTTAAGAATAAGTTAAATATGATTGATGCATTTTAATAATTCACGCAAGACTTTTTATTAGTATACAATTTTTTTTAAGTCGCCACTATTACCTATTGTTTCACATTGATTTCTTTCTCTCTCTCACGGCTATGTAAAGCTACTAACGAGGCATTTATCGTAGAATCCTTAACTGGTTAGTCCATTAGCTACAATGCTCCCTCGAATAACGCAGTTGCGATTATAGTCGGATTTTTTTTTTTTGACAAATTTAGACGTTCATGTCGAATCAATTTACATATTTTGCATACTTTTACAATTTTCTTTATCGTGGCGAATAAAAGAGGTGAAAAAGAGCGAATGCGAATTCTTTCGTGTGAACTCACAAATTGCCGCTGCACACAAGAAGCAGCGACACCGAATTCAAATATGTACATAGCGAGCAGCTGAACTTGAAAGAAAAATCAAACGACCAGTATGTCCCTGCGAGCTAGAAGGAGCCACATTTATATATGTATAAATAATATATGCATGAATAATGTAATTACATAATAATATACACATACATGCGCGCGCGTATAAATATATGCACATGTATTGAAAGAATATAAATGTACTTTCGTTTTTTGCGATGAGGGGGGGGGAGTTGGCGTCCCTAACCTCCACGTTGTTCAAGGGAACACCGTATTCTTCAAAAATGGCATTGTTATCCAACTGAAAACGAAATTGAATTTTAAATTGATTGAATGAAATTTCATGCAAGTATAACTACTCATGAAAGTCTTTTACGAAAAGGTCATCTACATTAAAAGAGACACTTGTTTAATGCAACAACGTATTTATTACTTTTTACGAAGTAATAATGTTCATTTTGTAACAACATATTCTGTGAAAATTTTTATACGAACAAGGATTAAAACGAATTGTACATTTCACGAAAAGAATCCTTTTATAAAGTTTACAAAGGCTTTCATGAGCGTGTGCATGCATTAACCACGTCATATATGTAATTGCAAGCGTTTTGTTTCAGGATACTCTTGTACACGCATTACCGTCGGATAGGTCTGGATTTGCAAAGGGCTTTCGCAAAAATATCGGGGGGCGCTGGCGCCGCTTGGTAAAAAGAAAGCCGGAGTCGGAGACTTGTGCCATTCCTCCTGAACTGAAAGATCAACTCAAGACAATTTACGTTTATTGACGATCAGCATTAATACGCCATTCTCTGTACTTTTACGAACCTTCCATTCGGTAATCGAAGCTTTCCTGTAAGATAGCGATTACATCCAGAAAAAGAAAAGAGATGGAGTAAAACGAGCGACGAAACGAAAGAGAACCAACATGCAATGGGATAGTTTATGCAAAAAAGACAAAAGAAACGAAAACGCAAAAATATCATAAGAATATGTTTGTTCGTTTAAACTGAACGAGAATCGAATAGCTTGTAGCACAAGCTTTCGGTATAAAATTTTGAAAGAAACTTCAAAGAAACAAAATTTAAACAACCCTCATTGCCTCTTACGAAACATATCAACAAGTGCCTAAGAATACCTTCTCGAAGAAGTTAACGATATAGATATAGAAAAATGATTACGTTCTTCTGATGTGGCATATTTTTGTGAAAACATATTATCAGAGTAAGGACATTTGAATGGTAGTTATATAGAATGTAGCAATAGAATTTACAAAGAAATATAGTGGAGAAAGAATAAAGGATAATAGTAGAAAATTTCTAATCTTGGACCTCGCTACTAGTGTAAACTCCTTCAAATAACGTCTTTGCAGATTCTAAGGATTGCGAAAAATGTAATTATATAGCCGCCGTTTAATGGCAAACTGATAAAAAATAAGATTAAACTCTAAACTGCTGTAATCACAACTACTTACATATGTACTTCATTTTTCCTTTTTAAAGCTATTTGCGTTGGTAAAGCTATTTGCAAAATAATAATTAAAAATATTAGGTTAGTTCCTCATAGATTAAACTTACAAGAACATTGACCAGTTTTTAATTATTATAAAATTTTAACGCGGACCTTTTATAGTGATTTTACCTTCCTTAGAAGTAAATCAAGCATTATTTGTTATTATACGCCAGTACGAAGTACATGAACGGTTTACTGATTATTATTCTTAGGCAATAAAAATTTTTTATAGTTCTTGACGAGTTTATGGTTCTTGATGAAACTGACGGTTCCTTCATTTTTCTCAACGTTAACAAGGAATTATCTTTCCCCTAATATCATTAACAGTTATTTTGCAAGTAAATTTAAAAAAAATGACAAAGTAGTATTTAAGAGAGTTGTACCCATTATAGCAGTTCAAGGTTTATATTTTATTTTATAGCTTTTGAATTAGGTGGTACTTACATAATTATGCTTTTCAGACCACTTAGAAACTTGCACATACATGATTTAAAAGAGCAGAGTCTTAAATTGCTCATATTCTATCATTGTCCTTTATTACCATAGATTTTGTGATAGTTTATTGTCTGGTATAAAAAAGCATGCCCACAATGCCATGAATAAAATGAAGGAAAACTTTCGGAACAGCTGTCCCGTGTATGTAATTCGCTCGAGTATGTAAAAGATTAAAAGTCACTAGACTTTGATACGCAGGACAACGGCGTCAAGAACTCTATGAGACTGAAATGTAAAGAGTACGACAACACGAGTTACCTCGTAGCTTTTCTATACATTTTTCGTGATTAATGCGACAAATTATTTCAATCACTAGTATTAACATATACCTGAAATTTTATGATCGTCAGAACTGCCAAGACGTTTTCTTCTACATCTCTTCTGGCAGTCGTATTGTATGTGTACATACATAGATGTATAAAGCGAAATATGAATTACTTGTAATTCTTATAATGGCCGATCGTTAAAGTAGAATCCCGAAATTTCCTCTGTACATGCCATTCAAAAAGTTTGGTATGTTAATAGGAAAACGGCAGGGACGAAAGAATACTAGTTCGAAATTACGCTCGACCAGATTCATTTCCTGATTCTTTAAAACGGAAGTGACATAGCATTTCATAGATAGTTGTAACATAGGCCAATTTAAGATTCTTAATATTATTCAGCAGCTCATATTGAGCCCGTACTATATACTGATATGATATTTTAATCGTAACGTTACATGAAACGATACCTCGTCCTGAAACAATGTTAATAATTTAATCGATTAAATTTTTGAACAATCAAAAAATGTATGCATAACGTTGTGCCACGCTTTGCATTAAGTGAAGCTATTTGGTTTTATATTAAGCTTAATTTTTTGCACTTCAAATTTTATGCGGAAAAATTGATAATTTATACTGAAAACGAAGCAAATGAAAATAATACATGCACATATTGAAAAAAAAAAATAAGGGAAAGAAAAAGATATTTCAATAAATTGCAACAAAATATTATAGTATGAAAAAAATTGCCTCAACGTTCTTTTACGACCCGACCTTTTAATTCTTCATTGCAATTTTGTAGAATGTAAATGTCATTGCATTGTTTGTTTATTATGAATGCATGATATGATACATGATAGTATAATTTTAAGGCGATGCGAATAGTTAAATGACCAATAACGTGCCTGCAATTACATATGCTAAAATAATTTTTATAAAAATGAAATATTGATGGAACTGCGTCCATTACCTAGTCACTTGATAATTATTGTTTAAAACTTGTATTATAAACTTCTTACCGCAGCTTGAATCTTTTCTCGTGAATACAGAGAGGTCTCTGAATACAACAATATCAAATAAAGTATTCAAAAGAATAAATTGCGCGTATAATTATTTTGTGTTACTTAACAGATTATTATTTACTTATCCATCAAAGTTTTAATTAAACAGAAAAATTATTTCTCGTTTTAAATGAATAAATTGGTTGATTTCAAATAGAACTTTTTTAATTATTTTTATTACCTCTTTTTTTTTTACCAAAAGTCATGATAATTAACGCTGTTACATTACATCATTATCATGAAAGGTTAAACTTTAATTTTTATTTTAAAATTAACACATGTAAACTATTATCGTAAATGTAATATTAGTTATGAAATTACTATGTAATTTCCAAATACTATAATATAATGCAAAGATTAAGTGCTCAAATATTAATAAAGGAAAATTATAAGTATAATAGTAAGTATAAAATCAGTATAATTGTTTAAATTTCGATTAATGAGAGTAACAATTATAGTATTCAGCTGACACAGATTAAAAGGTTACGCCAACTTGACTAAGCCGAAACGAGCAATATTTTTACGAATGTTTCACAAATGTACTCAACTGAAATGAACTCTTTTATCATGAATGAAATATATTTCATGAATTAAAAAAAAAAAACAATTTTTGTTTTTATGTTCAAAATATACTTGCAATGAAAAAAAAATGTTTTTCTCATCCTTGTCGTAGTACTGACGTCAATGATTCCAGCTTTGCAGTAGCTAAAAATCAAAGGTTGTGCAGTCTACTTTTAAAAATATATTTTGTAGTATGGCATATGGATGTTTTTAAATTCGAAATATTCTGGAAATAATAGCATTTTACAGAAACAGTGAAATTTCTAGCAGTTGTTTTTTTATATTTTTAAAACTAATTTTATAAAAAGGGTTAAAAAAGATAATGAGAGAGATCTTTGGGAATACTTTTTTCAAATTTCATTGGAATCAGTTGAACAGCTTTTTTAGTTACTACTGTCGCTTGTTCAAGAAGTATAATTTTAAGAAAAACACATTTGAAGAACATGAAAATCTTTAATATCGGAATTAATAGAAAGATAATCGTTCGTATAATGAAATTGTCAAATAGCGAAACATCCATTTGTCAGGATGGCTATTATTTTATATTTCAAAAGCAATAAGTTTTTCTGCTAAATTGCACAAATATTTTATTACATTCATCTGCATTGAATTACATTTTGTTTGTGTCTCACACCATTTAAATCCTTTCTTTATTGCCTTGAACCATCCAAGTCCTTTCTCTAATTTCATGCATACTTCGAAATATAAAGGCACATTTTCATTGCTACTTTCACAGCATTCTTCTATTTCAATATGAGGGACAACCTTCAGACAATAGAAACATTATATACATGTTATATTTTCTATTATAACTTTAATTTTTGTTCTACTCTCATTTAGCTAATATCGACTTATAATGTGATTCCTCCTTATCTCTTCTGAATTTGTGAGCTCTGGATTTTGCTATAGTAACTGATGTCTACTATGATTAAAGACTAACAGATGTCTAAATCCTTTTTTGATTATATAGTATACTTTAAAATCTATAAGACACCATTCTTTGGAGTATATATTAATTTATAGCTTTTTTTATAAACAAATTAGAATGTGTATGCATGTCACTTACGCACCAAAAAAACGGTTTCAGGGGATTACACTCCTTTACAATACACAACAGAACAATCACAAACGTTTACTTTGAACGTGGCCGTTCGAGAGGGTACGTATGTATGTAATTGTTATAAGGAATTGCCAGGAATTTATATTTTTTAGGGTTGTTTACGACTTAATCTTTCGAACATAAATGACTGTACGTCTTACTCGCGCGATTCTATTGTCCACCGTATACCACCCTTAGTTTACTTGATACGCTTAAGCAATTAAAAAAAGGCAAATCATATTTGTAATTTTGCTACCTTCCACTACCTTTATCCCCTCTTATGCGTATGGACACACTTATAACAACCAATTATGCACCCACTCATCAAACACATTTTAAAACCAATGAGAATTTAGTTTACCTCGACGATACACCATCAGCTAAAGAGAGACATTCTACAATTTTCGTACAGTAAACGTCTAAGACACTTTACAACAACCACTCGTAATTTATACTTTGTAAAATATACCTAGTGTAGTCACTAAAGGAGTACTACTCATTACATACGAAAATGTAGTTCACTAAATTCAATTTTGGTGGTGCCTATACGCTATGACACAAATTTAAGTCAGCGTCATTTAATCGTTGCGAAATTCATCGTCAACGTTGTGACGCATAAACAATGTATGTCAATTTCAATTCTTTGCAATTCACTACAAAATAATTTTAGAACTATTTTCTACACGTATAAGAGCATTGTAATCCTCGTTATTATTTTATCCTCTAATAAATCATTTCAATAGTTCATTTTAGCTTAAATCTACATAAATTATCAGTTCAATTTTTTGAACATTTTTTGTAAATATGACATAAGGTCTAATGAAAACAGGTCAAAAGTTTTCATGAAGTGCATCTACATATGTTCCATTTAACATGTAACCGAGATTTTCAGTTTATTGAATCTTCGTTATTCTGACGAATTTTTCAATGGGATTGTTTACACATTGTTTTTAAATGTTTAAACCATCATTTTACGGTAAACAAAATTTTCAATTGTTTAAAGTTGCAATAGTGGTGTAATAACTTATACAAACAAATATATATTTAATCTCTATTTCATATAACGTTCCTTCTAATAAATGTGAAATGGGTGATCAAACAATAATATATTGTTTTTAATAAAAATTGTTGGTATCAATGTAAAGGTTAAATAATTTACAAATATATTTTCACTTTACATTATAAATAGAATACACTCGTATTCTATATAAGAGATTATATTTCATCAAAGCATATGTATCTGATTCAAATACGTATTTTTCATTGTACTGTATTCGAAAATAAAGAGTTTCGTAGATAATTTTTTTTTGAAGTAATAAAAATTAATACGATCGTATTTAGTATTGAAATATTATTCGTTGTAATTTTTTGTATTTGTATTACATGGAATAATAAAAATAGAGGTTAGGTTTAATTTGTCACTTTTTGAATGGGGCATCAAGATTTAGTTATGAAAAAATTATCTATTTCAAAGTAATTTGTTATATGTACCAGTGATTATGAAAGTAAAACTTATATTTATAATTTATTTTATGTTGCATTAATTTACATTACAATAATGTGAAACCATTTGTGTAAAACAGTTGGAAAGTAAACCGTTAAATGGAGTTGGTGATCAAAATATCAAAAAGGGTAGTCAAAAAGTCTAAATATCTTGAAATGAAAAATCTAACTTACAACAGACCATTTGCATAATCACTGATACATCTGTAGACATATAGAATAAGAGTAATGTTTTAAATTTTACTTTGAAATATTATATAGTACAATAATTTTGTTCACATATTGATATTGTTAAAGCACAAATGTTTCATGTATAGATGTTAGTTCCATTATTGAAACTAATATAAAAATTGTTTCAATATGGTATTTCAATATTATATAAAATTTAATTTTACAAAGTGACTGTATATATGATTATTTGTAGGCTATAAAAACATGTCAGGTTTACTACGAAACATGAGTAATATAGCACAGAATGCTTTAGTGGAGTCTTCAATAAAGAAAAAATTGGTAGAGTCTTTAAATCCATTTCACATTGAAGTAATAAATGAGTCATATATGCATAATGTTCCTAAAGGATCTGAAACACACTTTAAAGTAATTGTTGTTTCTGATGCCTTCAAAAATGTACCTCTTATTAAGGTAAGATTGTAAGAATTAGTAAAATTCAAAAGAAAATTTGTTTAAAAAGAGAAATTTAATGGAATTTTCAGATTGTATTTGTAATTTACTTTTTATAAAAATTTTTATCATT